AACTGCCCAAATAAAAAAAATTTACCTGCTCTCTATTACTTCTTCGGTTATAGTGAGATTGGTTGCTGGGCCAACCCATTCATATAAGCATTTTGCACTTCGTAGATGCAAAACGCATACGCTGGCACTCAGACTATGCATAAGAGCTCGGAGATTACCTGGATCTTCACTTAGTTGCACAATGTCGTCTGCATACTCCAGGTCANCCAGGTCAGACAGTCTACCAGCAGGGAGCAACTATCCTCATGCGAGGATGGGGCCATTTCCATAATCAAGTCTATAGCAAGGCTCGAGTGGCTTTCGCTAACTTACATCACTTGTGGCGTCGACGCGATCTCCGTCTCTCCTTGAAAGACCGCGTTTACAATGCTACAGTACGCTCTGCTCTATTCTACGGCTGTGAGTTGGCCCTTCCGCGCAGAAGACGTACGGGGATTAAGTGTCTTTAACCGCCATTGCCTTCGTTGCTTCGCCAGAATACATTGGCAACAGCGAAATCTTCACCTTAGACAATCTCAGTCGTCCTCTGAGTGCCGTCATTTCGCTTCAGAGACTTCGATGGCCAGGACATGTTGCGGATGCCGGCTCAACGATTACCCCATCGTGTTATGTTTGCGCAAACAGACACTAACTGGAGGCGGCGACACGTTGGACAACGAATAACCTGGACTCGAACAATGAAGGCGCTAACCTCAAAACTGGCAGTAGTAGGGCGCTCTAGACTCCCAGGTTGGGGGCCTGACCGCCGTGGATGGGGCCGCTAATCCCTCCGTGGTTTTCACAAGCGGAGCTGTAGCCTTTCTTGTTAATCGTCAAAGTCGTCAAATAGCACTGTAAATAGTTTGCCCGTAAATTAGGTGCAGATTTTGAAGCGTGGTCAACCTCTCAATCTGGGGGCCTTTTATATATATGTATATATACTGGTGCGAAAATCTCGAGATGCACTTATCATTCAGTTTTCATCATGAATGTTCTGTTTTTGATTTCGGGATTTTGTTTACCTCGAATAATAATGTTCCTCTCCCGTGTGCGAATCTCGAGCACAAAACATCAAATTGACTACTGAGTAATCAGACGCCGTGAAGTTGCTATCGGTCCCTTGATTTGTCTGGAAAATGTAACAGCTATATGCTGTTCCATTTATACTTGCCACTCCATTCAGTTCGTTTTCGTAAACTAAACATTAACCTTATTAGGAGGTTGTTTTAGTTTTGGGCAAAACCACACTATAGAATCGTCTGTTTCTAGCAACACCCCAACAAGCTCGCATTTTACTGGTTCATTTTTCATTGTTCTTTCAGGAGCCGTCCTGTTTGTGATTCTAAAGGCTTTCATATTCGTACCACTATCATTACCTAATTTCCAGATCTTGTTTGTATATGCTCTTCGTTAACCGCAACTAAAATCATTTAAAATTTGAGCTGATACAACAATTTGATTGAACTTGACTCCAATGTCGGTGAGTGTTTACGATCTGCTATACTAATTTTTTCATGTGTCTATTTGACGAAGTCGCTAAAGAAATTCTTTTGTCTTTTTTCTATTCTAATCAATTGATTTTTTTTCAGACACTTTGGTGAAGCTGAGAAAGATGGTCGCCATGTGTCCACCGACGGCTGCGGTCATTCTAATTCGCACCGTTCAACAAATCGACGTTTCAACCGAAGTGACCGTAATCTCCCAGACTATTCGGGATCAAGGATGAGAGATCATACAAGCTCTTCACGTCAAAGACCTCAGTTAACTAAAGATTCGTTTAGTTCCATCTATTCTCGGCACCACACGACTGGGAAAGAGCTCGTTCTGGAAAATTCGTGTTCACCATCGAGCGACGCTCATTGTCATGGGAAAAATCACAGTCGTCGAATTCACGGTCGTTCATCGCATCACAAGTTTCAAAACGACTCTTCTCCTGACGCTCATGGGTCGTCCGTAGGTTCGCCTTCAAGAAGGAACAGTTCACAGAATTATGACACAACATGGAGGTCTAGTCGACATTCCGGCTCTACATCAAAAAGTTTCCATCCGAGCAGTATGTCACGCCCAAGTGTCCACCAACCCAGCCATTATTTGGACGAAACAGATGATGTCAGCAGTGGTTCTTTGTCTCCTGATTTGGAACCAGAAGGAAGTACCTCAGATGCTTCACCTGTTGTGCACGATTCTCATGGTAAAAGTCAGCGATTGTCCGCTAGTTCTGCATCGAGAGAGCTCAACAGCTTTAAACGTCAGACGCCTACTTTGGCTTGTGGTCTTAAAAGCTTTTCTGGATGCGTGGAGTCTGCTGCACGTGATTCATCTTACGCACATACCCATAAAACCCACGGACGATGCTACAGAGACTCTGCCAGTCCTACCACATTCACTAAGAAACTACGTCCAGTTGATGTGTCTCGAACCCCATGTCATTTACATACACAATCAACATCCAGTGCAGTGCGCACTCCAAGTAGCCCACATTCCACACTGAGCCGTGATTTCATTGATAGAAATAATTCCCGCAGTTCCTCCAGAGAACCTTATCCCGAACAAAGAATAAAACGTTCATTAAGAACTTCCGGGGGTTCATACGAAACAAAAGTAGAGCGAGCCTCTCGATCCCGAGAATCGCACTCACGTTGTTCCTACCACTCAGAAGAAAAAAGTTCTTTGCATTCTCAGCCAATGGATTTGTGCTCAGAATCACATGATACCTTAACAAAATTGGAGTTGGAACGTGCGAAGCTACTTCGAGAACTGTCAATGTTAAATAACGAGGTTGGAAATCACAAGTCCAAAGTCTCATCGGCCAAGAAAAGACTTCCACCAGATTCGTCGGACCAGCTTTACGCTCCGAAGATGAAGTGAGTTGCTTACGGTGTTTCCATATTCCTCCCCCTCCACCACTTATGAGATCCCCGTTACTGCCTCGTTCGCGTATGCGAAGTTTATTGACAATAACTGACTCGTTACTATTAATGAATGAGTATCATGGCAGAGATGACAAAAACCTAACATGTAAATCACTTACCACCCAACTATGAACCATCATATTTCCTGGTCAGTTTGATCAGCTTCTTAAGTAGTTTGTCCGATGTAATTAATGATACGGTGTAGTTCGGGTTGTCGTGGAACAATCATCAGGTGTTTGTCTATGGAATCAGTTCATTTCAGCTTTACAACCATTAACGATGTACCTTCTTCACCGGTTTTGATTTCTGTCTCATCACTGCCTATTTGTTGAAGGAGTAGAGAAAAAATTGAAATTCATTGTCAGTGAAAATAGAGAATCCAGGAAGACTGACATTGCCAAGAAATTTAGATGTTCGGGTGCTACTGTTTACGATAGCCGAATAACTGTGTCTCTAACCCTTGATTACAATGGTCCCGATCGTGAAAAATTAACGCGATCCTCATACTCGGTCTTTGTTTGGTATCCTATGGCTTATTATATTTTCTCACCAATGATGAATTCAGTCGGAACCACACGTCTTTCATTTGTTATAAACTTCGACAATGCTATTTACATTCACGCGTTATTCCTTTTGGTGCCTCATGTAGTTCTGCCGATGTTCCTAGGTGTTCAGAATTTAAAGATGGGTTCTCATAATTATGAAGTTCATGCTCCCCAACTTATCATCACACACTGATATGAAACCAAAAAGATCTACAGAATCAACATCGTACCAGTTCCTAAAGTTTATGGATTCTCTTATCCTTACTCTATATTTTGAGATCATTGCTTTGTTCCATCACTAAAGTTAACATGTATAACTGCAAAAAAATATATATTTATTGCATTTTATCAAGAACCCAATAGTACAGTCAAGCTCCGGCAATGTATAGATTATCTTGCCGAATAATAGAAAATAAATGGAGGAATATTCATTTTATTTCCAGTTTTTGAATAGCTTGTATACTGCAAAATTTGAAACTAGAAACGTTTGTGATTTTACCTTGTACTTTCAACTAACCGAACAATCCGGTTTGGGATGCCGAATAAAGTCGTATTCGTTGGATTAAGGAACTCGGCAATGTCACACCCACTGATGGATCATAGATTAGTTACTTTGTCATTCTTCATGTTAACTAACAGTCTACACCCCGAATTGCAGATGCAAAATGTAACACACATTTACTTTTCATTTTTTAGACGTTTGGACACTCGCAATTCGAGCGATGTTGGTGAGAATCAGACTTGTGCTGCTGAGAACTCGGTGGCGGTTTGTTCCACTAGTGAACGCATCGTGAGAGATAATTCAGAGGACCATTCCGTCAGTCAAGTGGCCAGACCTCCAAGTCGCTCGTCAACTGCTCGACCGTCTAATGGCTGTCATAGCAGCAGCAGCGAACCCGGTGACTTGTTATCTCCGATGGCAACTGCCCATCCTACATGTCTTACTGTCTCCGACATGTTCTCTACGATTGATACGAATTCTGGACCCCACCTTGGAGAACATCGATCACCACTGTGTGCTGCTGGATCCTGTTTAACGCTTCCTCGACGTTCAACCTTAATCACTTCTTCTCCGAGGCTAATGATGCCACCTGAGCCTACCTCTCCACTTACCCGACTTTCTCCTGAGTCACCAACCAGCGGCCTAGATGTTTCAGCAGCAGCAGCAGTGACCAGAAGTTTACCCTCGGCTCAAGTCATGTCCCCGGATTCCGGATCTCTGGGTAGAAAATCGGGTTCATCACCTCAGTGTGGAGGTAATCCACCTGTTCGTGATCCACGGTTAGTGGCTCATCAAACGCATCTAACCGCAGATATTCCACCGCCCCCTCCAGAGTGCCTCAAGCTACCTTTGTGGGTAGACACATCCCAATTGGGTGTTCATTCCATTGATCGCTTTCCGCAACCACCTCCACCGCCACCCAATAATTCATCTTCTAGCAGCATCAAGAATGATTCACGAAATTATTGTCTGATGGAGTCCGAAAACGAAGCAAATTCATCCCAAGAAGTAAGCAATTGTTCCCTGGATGAAAGAATCCGACTTCTAGATGCACAATTGCTTAAATCTGAGAAAGCACGGCCTACCGTAGATTATAGCAAATTCCGAATCAGGAGAAAAGTAGAGTCTTCATTAACTAATATGTCTGCTGATCGTTCGACTTTTGTCTTACCTGCACCAACTTCTCCTGCCGTCCTATCAACACTCACCTCCGTAATGCCGGTCTCTCCAGTCACTGAATTGAGTTCGGTTTACCCCGCTCGCATAGATCGTGGGCTCGTACCCGATTGTAATCCTTCTACGCCGGCGCTACCAACGGCTTCTACCGTGGGCTATAATTCCCCTAGACTTCCTTGCTCGACCTCTCCTATTGCACTTCCGCGGCTAGCGGATACTTCCGAATTCGTTAAGAGTATGCTTTCTTCATCTAAACCTTCGCCATCCAACTCTTCGGACCATGTTATTGTCTCACCTATGGATCCGGTTACTCCACGATCAGTGGTCCGCTTTCCTAATTCAGTTTCCAGCCCACTACCTACAAACAGCACTGTTGAGAACAACGCAAAGCCGTCCACTACAAACAGTGCGTCATCCGTCACAGCCAATTTCATACCACGACAGTTTGGACCTTTAAATGCCCGACTTTTACCACAAACAGGTGGTTCAATTCATAGCTCCCTGAACGGCACACAACCAATAGGCGTTGCTACACGCCTTCCTTCTATCGCAACACCTATCTCGGACTCAAGTCTCCGTCCATCCCCAAACAATCCTACTGACAGCAGCCATGTTAAATCCATCCTGAAAAAAGATGTCGGAAGCACAGCTTTTTGCGAGAGCTCAATATCTAAACCTCCTGGACCCAAACACTCACCAATAGACGCGAGTGCAGCAAACACTAACTGCACTGCATTGTGTGTAGCCTCCCTTGATGCCACAAATAATCCCAATGGCAAGAAGCTCTCTGCAGACGTTGTTGATGCTAAATCTGAGGGGCTCTCAGATCAGCACACTAGAGTGACAACAAATAATGGGTCTAATCGTCAGAGTGCTTCAATCAACAAATCTATACGACAGGTGTCCGCTGATGCAAAAAGATCAAATGCACCCCCTCAAACTAGCAACAAGTTAAAAATCGGTAAACCCGATGCCGGCAGTACTCCTACNAACTCTGGAAAAACCTGCTAATAAAGTTGAGAAAAAACGAAGTCGTGCAGACTCACTCCACGGTAAAACGCGAACAAACCCACAAACAAACAAGATCGAAGAACCTTCAATGACTCTCAAAACAGACACAGCCAAATCAGCTGCCCGCGATTCTGTTCCGGTTTCACGTAAGGGTATTGTGTCTAATTCCAAGCGCGCGAATGAGACTTCTCTCTCAGATAAATTAACTGAACGGACACCCTTATTTGAGAAACACAAGGCAGCACTGACCCATTCGGAAAAGACGGTCTCCACCACTGAAATCACTATCAAGGACTCCAAAACATCCCGGATACAAGTAAAATCTCGCCTTGAGGATCACACTGAACGTGCATCAATTACGTCACGGAAAAAGTTGCGTGAAAGCAAGAAGTGTCTTGTACAAGATGACTCTGATGATGATGAGGTATCAAGCAAAAATTCCCTTGATCGTCCCTGTAACGAAACCGAAATTTCCATGCTTTCCGGCTATGAATCAATGTATGATAAAATCAAACGGCGTGCCAATAAAGATTCTCCTGGTGAAAAATCAACTGAAAAATCGGGGGTTTTCCACCGTTTGTTGAAGGCTCGGGGAAAAGCTGGTAAGCCGAACTCAAAGCGAAGTCAACGCGGAACGATTTCTCCTGTGGACAGTGATACTGATGAGTGTCTAAGTGATACGTCTTCAGACGATGATGATACAAGGAAAAAACAAAGAGAGCGAACAAAAGCCGGAGTTCGACAAACAAAATCAGAGGCCACTAAACAGAAGTCCAACTCTAAGAGTAGAAACGTTCAGTTGTGGTCTAGCATGTCATGTGTAAAAAGGAGCAGAGATCCTGATGGAAATTCCGACAGCAAAAACAAAGCCAAAGTCGGACGGTCACTTATCACTAAATCTGTAATGAAAAAGCAAAAACAGGAGTCGAACTCGGTCGATACCTCTGAAAAGACACGAGCAAAGAGTTTGTTAAATGTAAAAGAGAGTACGAAGTTCCCGTACCGTGATTCTGATGTATCCGTGCTTAAGAATAAGAGAAGGCAGGTTCCAAACAAATCTTCCGGCACCTCTCCGAATAGAGCAAAACATTCGTTTAAATCTTTTAAAAAGAAGGTTAAATTAACAAGCAAAACAAACGAAGGACATCGTAGCCTTGTGCACCGTATGTTTGCCTCAACTGACTCCGAGACTCCTTCATTATCGTCTTCAGAGACTGATTTGGAGGATGATAACAAGATGCCGTCACCAGCTGAGATTAAGCAACACGATTCCCCTCGATCAAGTACTCCACGAGTGAGTCGGTCGTGCAGTCCAGACGATGTGGAAGTAGATGATGCTATTCGTCATACTTTTGGAGCCTTTGCTAAGCCAGTTACTTCAAACTCTGATAAGGCAAGTTCCCTCAGTGCTCCATTTGCCTCCGTTAGTTTGAAATGCTCGTCATCTCCTGATAGCCATCTAACTAAAAGTCCCTCAGAGGCCAATGCTCTGTCGAAGTCCACTCCGCCAACCTTGCCTATGCTGGACTCCAGTTCGAGTGCTGATCAAATTACAGAGCCACAGCAAAAATCACACTCACGTGCCTCCGTGGATTGGAATATTTTCACGTCTCTGACTTCCTGCTCGCTACCGGCTATTGAACCTTATCCTCGTGCGTCGACACCCACGGGAACAGAACCTAGCTCGGAAGACAACTTGTTCAATGGACAGAACAAATTTGACATTGAAAAATCTGAATCTGATTTGGAAGATGAGTTACCATCACTCGAAAAGCACGATGACGATGAATCAGGTAAGATGGATGGTGGCTCTTTGCTCTTGAATGACAGTGGCAGTATCTTGAATCCCATCAATGCCGCTAATGGCGCGGTGGAAGATGACCTCCCTCCTCCTGTAGTTTCAGCGGTTGGTGATTTGTCACCTAAACCTCATTCCAACGACTGCAACCAGTTGCTGAAAAGTGCTGTAACTGATGTTATCGAAGAAGTTGTCTATGATGGTCTTGAGGTTCCAGTTGTATCATGCGAAGCATCGGGAGAAGCTACGTTGAAACCAGAACCGCCTGTCACTAATGATGAAGTCACTGTAGAATCCACTGATTCCTCGTCAGAACATGTTTGCGTTCCGCTATCCAGTGCGGTTGTATCCAATAGCTCTACTGAACCATCAATTGTTTCTGGTTTGTCTACTCAAGCTGTATCAGTTTCCTCCACGTCCCTGACTTTGCCTTCAACTGTCTTTACCCCCATTGCAATGTTGGCTCCGGGCACTCATTCTGATGAATTGTCAGCCGTCGGTCAGCCCCTTTTAGTAACGGTGCCGGGGTCCACTGCTGGTGTAACTTTTACTTCTTCCGGTCTGGCCTTGTTGCCCGCTGCGTTGCCGACCAGCCCTACGCATAACAAACCCGCTCAAGTTCCGCGGCATGTAGCTCTCATTTTACCGGCCACGCCCATATCCATCAACAGTTCAATTACTTCGTCTCAAGCGCCCACAACAACATCCATCCTCAATACCACGACGTTAGTATACAATACTGCCGTTGCCCAGTCCACTTGTGGCGCACCATCTGCAACATCTGTTCGCACACCTGCCGCCACTTCAACACTATCGAGTTTTGGTGCACGAAGCGGACAAGATTCATCTTTTCCTATGTCAAGATCTCTGCCCTCGTCAATCGTCAAACCATCGATGCCCTCTGATTCTTTGCCTCGAGGATCTGAATTGTCTTCATCCAACGAGACTTGTGACGGAAGCTCTACAACAGATGAGACGATCCACCCGCCAGTTCACAACGTTCCACAAGATCCTCCTGATTACACCTCCTATGTCCAACGTGTTATTGAGCGAGTGAAACAGGAAAAGGACGAGGAAGTTTCGCATCAGCGAGAGAAAATAAAAAGACCTAAAAAGGTTCCAACTTCTTTGGTGCCTATTCCTTGTTTAACTTCAATAAACTCAGTCACTGGAACCAGCTACGTTTTCACTCTTACGTCAAACGTGACACCTCAAGTAACATCCTTAACACCGATTGCTCCTATGCCGATCCCCGCTGTTTCTGTTGGTCCGAAAGTCACTGTTGTATCGAGGCCTAGCACTTCGGCCAGTGCAGATGGTCTTGGACAGACTAATGCACCCCGGAAGTCTTCTGATACGAGGTATATTACATCCCATCACAAAGACAAAAACTGCAAAGCAAACGATAATGACACGACTGAAGGTGTTATCGACAAGGTGGAAGGCAGTGGGCCTTCGATTCCCGGCATACCGTCCAGTACTGATATTTCTCATGAAAATGTTGCTGAAGCAGCTCCTCAATTAGTATGCGAATCGTCCAAGTGCAGTATTGATGAGGTCATTGACGCTGTTTTGAATGGACGGTTTGATGAAAACGAGTATGTCGAGAAAATTCTCAAAGGAAACTTCGAACAAAGTTATAGTCAAACGAAATCTGATTTTTGCTCACCCTCCAGTTCTGTCACTGATCCCAATTCGCCACTGCGTATGCTGGAGGAATCGAACAAAGTGGATGGCACCTTCGGCTCTGCGGACAATATATCAGCAACCAGCAATGTAAGTCGTTAGCTTTGTATATTCCATGTAAACTCTAGCAGTTTGTCACTTGTTGGTTTAGTATTCTCTTTCAGTTTTTGAAAATGTTCTGTTTTCTTGATTAAACAACGAGCAATAAGACCCAGCGGATAGGTGTGACCCACAACACAAGAACGGTAGATTTGCACAAATCATCTGGTGCTCAAAGTAGATTCCCTAGCTGTTGGTTATCAATGTTTGTAGTCAGAAGGTACCGTCAAATGCCGAAAATGCGAACGTTTTCCTTCGAGGGTGCTGTTGCAGATCTTCCTCAAATAGCTATCCTTCTCAAGTTAATCGTTTCTTAATCCTTGATGACATCTAGGAGTAAGACAATTTTTTTAGACGGAATCGCATTTGCTACCTTGATCATGCAGTTTTTAACTTCTATGTAATAGCAGTCGTGTTCTTTTGTAGGTCAGCGTTACCGCAGCAGTTCAAAGTCCTACGGGAACAATGGATGCAATTGCCAGATCTTCGCCATCCGGAATTCTCACACCGATGCACGTGTTAACGCTAGTCGCTGCCAATGCCGCGACGCCTTCCAAAATAAACAGCGTGTCTGCAGTTTCACCAAATACTCCTCAAACGCTTAGTGCACCTGGTGTAAAACTTCCATCTTCGCTTTCACAGTGTGTGAAAATGGCTGAATCAGACCCCCAAGCTACCATAATTTCACCGGGAACTTTTGCTACTAGCACCACCAGCAGCAACTTGTCCAACGCACCCTCAGTACCAGTTAATGGAATGGAACAGCTCGCCGCACAGTTCCCGAATAACCCTCTCACCAGTTACTTTTACTCTTTGCTCGCTCGACCGCCGTTGAATGCATCTACACCACCGGCGTCAACAGACTCCAACTCGTGCAAGTCGCAGGATATAGCATTGCCAGTGCATGTCTCATCTGCATTACAAAACTCATTAAAAGGTTTAAATATTCCTAGTGCCGGAGATGGTGCAGATTACCTAGCTGCTGCGGCAGCAGCGATGGCTGCAATGGCAGCAATGACCTCTACTTCTGGAACTCGTGCTATGGCTCCTCTTGACCCTGCCCCAACTAGTGGATTGGGTACTTCACTTCCCTATCCGTATTCAACGGAAAATCAACCGATTTCAACTTCGTCCAGTGAATGCCCACTTGCTCACGTAAGTAGCCAGATCCTCAATTTACTTTCCAATACTTTGGGTAACTCAGTTGTTCACTTTTATGATACGTTGGACGTTTTCCTTTTGATGTTGTCAACAATAAAGTGCCATTTGGATATTGTTCTCTCTTTGAGTGAACGTCATAGGAACCGGCCCACTTCAATGGCTTTGGGGATACGTTTAAAATAGCACAAAAGCAAGACATTATATCATCCTTAGATTGTTTCGTTTGCTTTAGCTCACTTTGATGTTTGCAGACATGAGGTATCATTTGCGGTCCTTGAGGGTCCATTGCTTCCCCGCGTTGTGAATGTGCGACAGAAATTTCGGTAATAACAATAACAATAATATATATATATATATATATATATATATATATACAATAAGTAGTATGCGAATGACTGGACAAAATTTCCCTGTAAGCACACAATTGGTTTCGCTGTTGTTACCGCTCGTCAGGCATGCG